AAAACAACATGACATTGTGTTATTTTTTAACATATTTATCAAATTACATAAAAAAAAAGGAAATCAATACTTACACGTGAAAAGTAATTCCAGGAATCTTTTTCGAAAATCTATTTGTGCATCCATATGCAACACAAGTTGACATGCTTCAAAAAGAAAAGAAAAAAATGTTGCAATTACAGACTTCCTTGCAGAAGTTACAGGCTTATTCACAAAGCCTACAGAACGTTTCCTCTGCTGTTTGCTCCGATTGGTTAAAACAGGAAATGTAGGGTTACAGAATCTAGTGCTTGGCGACTTTTGGTTCATCGCCTTTACAATTTGTATTTGAGAGTCGTGTACCAAAAGGTGTGCATAACCAATCGGAGAAACCGCAGCTCAGCTGTAATGAGCGCGGGAACGTCCTCAACCTTCTAGATCATCGGTTCTATCCCCGCTCGTAGCTTTTCTAAACTCTGCTCTACACGGATTTATTTTTATTTTAACTTTATTGAATGACTTTGTCATTATTTGTCTTTTCGCCTTCGGGTGTGGTGTTAAAAATTAAACGCTTTTATTTTCTCTATTTTTGTTAATGTTAATTTTTCTTACTTTTACTTACGGGTTTGTACTCTTTGTAGTAGGTACCAGTAGCAAGATTACGATCCAAGATCCCGTAAAGCATTTCAATAGAAATAGCGCATAATGGAATAAAATATAATTTTAGTTATACTTACTCATGTAAAAAGAATAGGTATCCGACGCCCTTAAATGTTTACTGAATGTTTTCATTTATTTTTTAACATTTCTTTATTTGTATAAATTAATGTGCTATGGAAATCTACACAATAGACTCTTTCTAACAGAAATGAAGAAAAAGTGCATATGCTATCTCCATGTAAACACCTTTTTCTTGTAAAACAATTACGTACTTTTAAAAGTTTAAATTCAAATACAAATAAACTATTAATAAGATCCGTAGGTTATTTAAAATATATTCCACACAATTCCTCTAAGCTTTCATTCATAAAATAAAAAAATATCGAATGAAATAAACGCTGTTTCCGTTTGTTTGGCGTTAATTACCACGCCTACAGGGCGATAACTCGCCATTCCAAATATGACCGCCAAGCAGATGTTTCATCCAATGAGAGCAGACCGAAATGGTCTGTAGGCTTTGTGAACATGCAAGTCACTGCGATAACAGTAACATGGCCGCGAAGCTTCATCGTGTATCCGAACTTTCCCTCCTTATATTCTAACCTAAGGCTCCTATAAACCAGGCTGAATCATCAGGCATTCGCGCTCCCAAGTGGGAGATTTAATGGCGGCTGAGTGGTTAAGGTGCAACAATTTTTTGTGTTTTTTTTGTGTAAAATGGGCGGATGTACAGCTATTAATTGTTCAAATCATTCACGGAAAGGTCATACATTGGTAAAATTAAAATTTCCTAAAAATGAAGAAAGAAGAAAAATATGGGTAAATAATTGCCGAAGAGACAATTGGAAACCTGGTCCAGGCGCTGAACTTTGCTTAGTAAGTATAATGTTAATTACGCCTTCATTTAGAGTTTATATCTTCTCTGATGTTTATAATGTGCAAGTAAAGTGAAATTCTTGTGTACAATAACCTGAGTATCTGCTAATTTCTGTAATAATACCTATAATTAAATTAGTCTAGGGTTAATGTACCCGTCGCCAAACATCGCCAATGTAGATGTTTTGAATATATGGAAAAGAAATTTCTCTTCTAATATAAAGCGCGGGATTTTGTTTTCCTGTGCTAATTGTGGAATTTATACTAATGTAACATGAAAATCATTAGCATATTGAAATTTATTAAAAAATAAATAATAATTTGGAAAGTCAAGATAAAATCTGAATGTTTGCTAGAGATATATGCAACATAATACTATAGTTGCAATATCGTTGGATTGATATATAATTTTTTTCTTTATTTTATAATCACTATTGTTAAAAGTTAGATGAGTTGTTTATGCACGGTGCCCACTACTGTTTCTTGGTTAAAATAACTTCCAGAATTTTGACATTGACATCTGAAGTCAATAGAATAAATTGAATAGTGTGAGACAAAATATATATAATCTGACTTCAATAATTGCAAGGATTGTGCAAGTTTTATTATAATCACAGTATTATACAATTTGGCAATGGAGTAAAGATTTAGAAATGAATGCAAAACATTCAAATTAGTATTTTCTTGTTTCTAATTATAGAAAATATAGTCTATTTTCCAGTATAAAAGTTTTACTTAAAAGTATGGGAAAGCAGAGATTTGTTTCATGCATGATCTTTATAATACTGGTATGAAATGAATGAATTTTAATCTGTAAACAATTTTTTGTTAATATTGAAATGCGTTTCTTTGGGTACATTTTTAGGCACTTGTGGATCATGTCAGACAACATGCAATAGAAAAAAGATGTCCGTGTGCATAAATTTTCCCATTGTGTTACTTCATTTTATCTAAATTTCAAGGATAATTCTTTTCATTTTTATATGGCATGTTATCAGTATAAAGGCTAGTGAAAAATAAATTGGTATGTGTATCTGTTTTTGAAGTGTAATGCTTAAATAAAAGATGGTGTGTGTTTCTTCATTTAAACAAAATTTCAAGGATAGTATTTTTCAGTGTTGTACGTTGTTTTTTATTTATTTCTCAATGTAAAGGGTAACAAGGGGAAAAAAAAAAAATCTGGTATGGTATATCTCTGTTTTTAAGCATGATAATTTTATTTATTTCTTTAGTGATGCATATATATAGAGAGAAGGTGTTTGGTCCAACTGAAGTTATAATAAATCTAATTTTACTAGATCTCTCCCTCCCCTCAGGTGTAGAAAATTTTCAAGTGCAGAAAGTTTATTTGCAGAATTAATTCATTTCTGATAAACTTATTATCATTAATTTTTTATATAACATGTTATTAAGTTACACATTTGACTACTGTGTAATAAAATTGTATTTAGGGCAAAAAATTAACTATAATTTTGCATCTGGTGACTAATATCATATGCTTCTAAGAATATTACTTTAACTTTTTCCATAATTTTTGTATTTCAGGAACATGAAACTGTTATTTTGATATACTTAAATAATAAAAGTGTGTATCTGAATCAATTAATGGATACAAATATTTTACAGTTATTTTTAGAAGATATTTGCCATATCATCGCTTCTAATAATTCATAATTCATAAGTATGTTAAAATATAGGTAAATAATTTGGTGCAGAATTCAAATTTAGGGTTTAAAATATAGTGAATCATAAGACTAAATGATTTTTATTGTCATGATTTGCCTGGGCTTAAGAATGTACTTTTCGCCCGGTGGAAATTGTCATCAAACTGTCCTGAACAGGCTTTTTGTTGATAATAACTTCCAGGCTTATCAGTACCTCCTTTTGAGTGGAGGGTATGCAAATATAGTACCCAATTTAAATAAATTACATTGTGATTGTAATAATATTGTGGTATTAAATAAGTGATTATAATTACAATTTAGGTAATTGCATTGTAATTATATTACATTGTATCTGTGAACTCTTAATTTCATTACTTTATGCAATTATGTTGTAAGTGCATAATCTAATTGCAATAATATAATATATTCGCAATTACAAAAAATAATTATAAATGCAGTTACATCTTAAATAGAGGCCATTTTAATACTTTTAAATTTTCGCAAGATAACTTCCCATTAAGGTTCATTTGGAGGAAAACTATGCAAATACTAAAAAATAATGAAGTTATGCTAAATTTACTAAATTTACATATTTTGTACAGTACTTTCTTGTTATAATGCTGTTCAATATATCTTCAATACTTTTGTAAATTTAACGACATTCTTTGCAATCACTGTGGTGCTTTAAAAAGAAGTTTCTTAGTTATGCTTTCTAATAAGAATGGGTTTTCAAAATTAAGTATTATGTATAATAACTAGCAGTTAAAAAAACTTGACTGCATGAAAATGCTGTTTGCTGTGTAAAATAAAAAATAAGCTTTCTTTTATGCTTTGAAATGAATTACATGTGGTTAAGTCGTCCTTTTACAATTTAAGAATGTGGTTAACACACATTCTTAAATTGTAAAAGGACAGGTTTTTATCTAAATTATTAGTATAAAATATATAAACTATGAATTATTTTGTAACATAACTCAAATTACAAAATTCATTCTATATACGTTCAAAGTTATTATCTTTTATGGAATAACTATTTTTTTAATTTAGGTAAAAATTGGATTTTTTAGAAGTATTACAAATACAATGCAACACAAAGGTGATCTGATTGAAGAGGGGAAGGACTTTTTATTACGGTTTCTAGTTCGTATTTATATTACATTTGATGAAAAGCATCCAAAACACAGAATGCTGTACTTTCTTCTTCCATATTATGTTATGAAATATTTCACACATTTAAAAGAAAGTGTTTCTTCAGAATCTTGCACAATTATTTCCATGTACCTCAGACTTAAATGACAACATATTCTTAAGTTATTTTTTAGTATGAATTTACAGTGTTTTTATGGAAATTTTTGTTAAAATGTCATTAAGATAAATTTATTTGCACACTCTACGCTTTAACTATTTCCCCATTTGACACTATTGAAAGTTTTTATTCATATCTTATTTTATTATAGTCTGCTAACGAAACTGAAACATCTAAAGAATAAGTTATTTTGAATATGTTTACAAAATATATACGCGAAATTTTTATTTAAGTGAAAACGTCTATATACTATTCGAGAATTAATAAATTATCCGAAAAGTTTATATGCGCTGAATACCGCGCGTCTATAAAATAAATCTTTAAAAAAACAGCAGACATTCAGCCAGCGTGTGCGATAAACGCGCCAAAATTGGCAGCGCGTTCACTCCCTCGCCAAGAGAGAAACGTTGGTGATTCAGCCTGGTTTACAGGAGCCTTATTCTAACCTCCTTGGTTGGTTCCCGACTTCTTACGCATGTGCGAAAAGAGCGGAAGACATGTGAACGATGTCGAAGTCTTGCAATAGACGTAGCACTGGGTTTCTTGAAAAGATACAAACAGAAGACCGGCATTTAGTAGTTGTTGAAAGTGCTGTGTAGGATTTGAGTATTTCGATTTTTATTGAAATTATCTTTCAGAAAACGCCAGCACAGTAAGGATTAGTTTAAAATAGCTGATTTTATATAATATAAAAAAATAGCTTTTAGGAAATAAAAAATGGGTAATGTTGAAACAGCCGGGCCAAATGAGGCTCTCATCATCTCTGGTAAGTACAGTATTTTTTTTGTTTTTTGTTGTAAAATCCGTATTTTACAGAGCTTTTTTTTTTTTTTTTCCCTACTTATAATAGACACACTGAAATTCGAATTTTCCTCAACATTTGTTCATTTAGCCTTTGAGAAAATAATTTTCTACCATAAAATTGTATCTGTAGCAATAACATATGTCAGATTTGCTTTAAATTGTTTTTAAGCATGTAATCAGAATTCCATGAAGAAAAAGATTTTATCTGCAACGGAAGGGGCGTGTATTTCTCTCAAAATTAAGTAATATTTTAGTAATATAAAAATTATTTAATACCGTCTGTTTGTTTTGCTGAAATTTGAATTTGGTGAGAAGTTTCTGTATATAATTATAAAATTTGAATGTGTCGTAATATGTATTTATTTAAATGTAACTAGGTAATGATACAAAATTCATCATAATTAAATTTAAGATAAAGGTTCCATAAGCTAATAGTTTTAAAGAGTTAGATACTTTTAAAATGTCAAAAGTATAACACATTTTAAAACAGCTCAGTATCTCAATAACTAACTGGTTTGTGATCTTGAAACGTTGTTTACGTATTTCGATATTCTTGATGTTGTTTTTGCATTTTTACTTTATATTCTAAATATTGAATTAACTGAAGTCTTGCAAAAAAAATAAAGCACAGTCTTCTTCTTTGGCATAAAATTGTAATATGTAATTTGTGCAGTATTTTGGATAAACAAATCATTCTTTTTAACTTATTTTACTCCCCAATTTTGTAAAATAATATCTTTTTGAAATGCTGTTCTTTAAAAGCAAGTGAATCATAAGAATATTTTTATTTTTGATTCCTCCTAATTGACTATTTTTTAACTTGAAGGTAATTTGTAAACTTTATGCAAGAAGCACAATAGCTGGTGATTGCATATTTACATATGGCTTGTATTAGTTAAAATTTGGACTAGAAATTTCAGAGAAATTATGCAAGCAAGGAGGTAAATTAGTTGTTAGAAATCTTTACTCAAGTATTCAAATCCTGTGAATGCACATTATTTTCTAAATATTAATAGAAGTATAAAAATATCCAAGTTTAAAGTCTGCTGGTGTGCATAAACATATAGTTAAACAGAATTGTATATATAATCGCCATAATTTAAATGGAAATGATAAGAGGTGAGGAGTTAAAATTTCATACAATTTCAAATTTAATTATAATTTTAAACATTTTTCTGTCAGAGGCACAATAATTAGCCATTTTATACAGATATAGTGTTTGCACTTAATAAAAATTTCTTGAAATTCTAATCAGTGAGTTCAGCGAGATCAATCATACAAGCAGGAAAATTGCACCTTTTATGAAATCTTAATTGAAAAAGAAATTACTTTGGAATCTTGTAAGCAGGTTACTCTATTAAAATTAATAAACAGATAGATATTATAATAAGTTAACTTTTTATCATGTATATTTATACAAAATAGTGTAAAAAAGCATATTATATGTAGTTCAGGAGATTTAATATGTTGAATTTAGTACAACTGTAAACAAATTCTCTGGCTTTTCAAATGGCAGAATTTTACTTTTACTATAACTTTGTTTCTGCAATGAATTTTTACATTGGGTTTTTAAAATGTTTGTAAAGATTTGAATTTCAGTATCAAAGCATGGGAAAAAAATGTTTGATTTTTCTGAATTATTTGAAGATTTTGATCCATTGAAAACCCATTTTGCCCCAGTACCTAAAGATATCACTCTTTTCATCTAGTAATGTATTAAATATGTTGAAGTAGCAAACACACACAAAGGCACATGAACAGATGTAAGGTACATACACAGATAATTTGTGGTGATTATTAGAATGTTTTTGTGTTAATACTGCTGGAAACAGTTAAAGAGAATTGTTATTGTATAAAGTGAATCAAAAAATAGTTCTTTTGATTTTCATTAAATTTCATCTCTCTAGCAAAAAATAAGATTGCTTATTTTTGATTTTTTTCATTAAACTGAAATAATTGTTTCCTCCCTTTTTTTCCTCTTTCAAACAAGTAAAATAGGTTAATCTTTGGATTATGGTTACTTGGCGAAAATTTGGCGACCACCAGTTTTTTTTTTTGGACGCCATTTTGTTTTCACGAAGTAAAGGCATTTTTTTTAACTCAACATTTTTTTCCAACAATCTGCTAGCCGAATTACGCTTATGCTAGAACTTTTATGGAACAAAAGTGCTTAATCATGACGAAGATTAGATACAAAATTAGGAGAAAGTGCAGAATCGCCCACTGCTTGCCGCGTTTTTAAGAATTGCACATACACTGTATCCATGTGCACGTCAACCTATTTTCACTTAAAAAAAATCCCAGAATTGCACAGAAATGGCATTGCGCACACTCTTGACTTTATTTATATACACTGCTTAAGTCCTAGCTAGTAACCTTTATCGCCTTACCAAAATCTCGCCATATTACCTGTTACCATATTCCAAAGATTAGCCACAAAATAATTGCTTGAAAATATTTTTTTATTTAGTAATTAATGAACTAAATAATTAATCTAAGATAGAATATCTTGATTCATCATTTTTTATACTAAATTCGAATTTTCAAAATTTACAAAGCAAAAAATGTTTTGGGATGCTTGATATCTCAGTTTAGAAATTTATTGTTTACTTATCATCCAAATAATTTGAGTATATACGTGCATTCATCAGACTGTTTTGCTTTTCATACATTGGATAAATTTAGAATATTTTTAATTTCAGTCCTTTTTAATGCAATTACAGATAAGAAATGCACTCATGATTTTACTGCTTGCAACATGGAAAAATGTAAACACGTTGCATTGACGGTAATGCAAAGTGCAAATTCTGCAAAAGATGGAGACAGGTGCTACTACTCGGTTTATAGCAGAATCGTATGGAATTGCGATACAATTGTGTACGATATACGGAAAAATAAAGAAAGGCTGTTGAAATTTTACAGCAACAGTGATTCTAACACCAGAATCCGAAACTGGAAATCTTTGCATGAGGCGAAATCGGCAAACCTCCATGCTGTGTATATGTAATACAATGAATAATATAATCAATTTATATATGTAATAATAAGTTATTGCAATAATGTATATAATAATTAAATTAAATGTATCTAATACGCCTTATTTATTTTGCAATTTTAGTCTGAATATTATGATTTATCTTTTCTGTCCTGAAATCCGCAAAATCCTAAAAAGGGAATTGGGAGCATACCATTGTTTGTCAAAGATCTTGGGCATTAGCATTACATCAAGTCTATTCTAATTTAGGTAGCCAAATGAAATTGAAGTCAACCTAAGAAATGATAGGAGATTTTAGTTGATGTTTACATTATGGTAACTTGGCGATTTTTTGGCGAACATTTGGCAACCAACTCTCCTACAGCAACCCTCTACTTTTTTTTCCCTGCCGCCATTTTGTCTTCACAAAGTAAAGACATGTTTCTTTTCTTCTTATCTACTGAACACTTCTTCCAATAATCTACTAGCCGAATTACACTTATGCTAGAAATTTTATCAAACAAAACTGCTTAATCATGACAAATATTCACTGCAAAATTGGGAAAAAGTGCACAATACCATACTCCTTACGCGTTTTTCAAAATAACACATACACATAAACCATGTACACGCCGACTTATTTTTACTTAAAAAAACATCCCAGAATTGCACAAAAATGGCATTGCGCACACTCTTCACTATATCCATGTACATTGCTTTTTTCTCATAAATTAGAAAAATTTCACGAAAATACATGACAATTTTCTCAATCTTTAAACCCGATTAAAAGAACATATATGAAATTACCTGATAGCGAAAAAGTATTTACCCTTTCCAAATATGAACATTTCCACATATAAAATTAATAAAATACCCAAAAACTTTTACCTCTAAATTATCTATTACATTATACACGTCACCAACGAATTCACACCGCAAGCATTACAAATACTTAGTATCAAATATTTAAATTATTTCCATGCACGTTTATTTCAACTTAAACGTATACCAAATTCCTACAAACATAAAATTAACAAAATAACTATCATTTAATTAAAATATCACTAAACCATGTACACGTCGACTTATTTTTACTTAAAAAAAACATCCCAGAATTGCACAAAAATGGCATTGCGCACACTCTTCACTATATCCATGTACACTGCTTTTTTCTCATAAATTAGAAAAATTTCATGAAAATTTTGTGAATCTTTAAATTCGGTAAAAAGGACATATATGAAATTACCTGATCGCGAAAAAGTATATACCCTTTCCAAGGATGGACATTTGCACGTATAAAATAAATAAAATATCCAAAAACTTTTACCTCTAAATTAACTATTATAAACGTCACCAACGAATTTATAACAAAACATTAAAATTGATTACAAATACTTAGTGTCAAATACTTAAATTCTTTCAAAGCACATTTACTTCTACTCAAATGTATTCCAAAATACTACCAACATATAACTCTCAAAATCATGATCATTAAATTAAACTATAATTAAATTGAAAAACACTACTTAAAATATAAATAAGCACGTACATTAAATTAATAAAAATTAGCTTACAATCCTAATTACTTTAAACTAAATCAGTGCTAATAATAATTTTCCAATAATACCATATTAATTTATTTACTCCTTACATTTAGAACAATGCATAAAAATAATATCCTGAAATAATTAAAAATACTAACTTACCTAATCTTCTACAGAATCTTGAGTGCATAGCGGATCACAAAATGTACATTTTCACCAGGTTTCTTGCACCGCCATTCAAACTATCTGTAATATCCTTCCTTTCACACAATCTCATTTCATTCCTACATATTGGACATTCATACTTATCCGCAATTAAGCAATTCTTTTCAATTACACATAAACGTAATAAAAATTTCGGATTTACTTTATATACGGCTAAGGGATCCAAATATTAAACAACACTGTTTCACAGAACATAGAATGAAACTACTCCTATAAAGTACAGCAGATATTTTTACAATATGCCCCCTTTTCCGATTAAAAAACAGTGATTCATCCATTAATGTCACATGACATATCTCATGATCTCTCATTTCCCTCACACAAAATAATGCGTAATTGGAACTGAAAACTTCTCACATTATTCCCAAAGTCCTAGGTAGTAACCTTTATTGCCTTCAAAATGTCGCCAAACTACCTGTTACCATATTTCAAAGATCAGCAAAGGATTTGTTTGGACCATCAACAGATGCATTTCTTTTTTCACCTAGAAATGACAAAAACAAATCTTCATGTCTTAGAATTTGAACTGTATGTGTGTACATCAAGCATGGTAATCATGTATTGCTAATTAACTGCTGTTTCAGTTACATGGCCTTCTGATGTATTGTAAATTAAGGCTCTACTCTTATATTCGTCCTAACATTACCAAACGCCCACCAGCGGCTGAGCGGTGAAGTCGCTGAACACTGGTAGTTCAGTCCGAGGTTCGAATCCCGCGAACAGGCTGGCTGCATGGGCGTTTTTGTGGCTTTCCCCATGTGTAACGTGTATATGAGCCAGTTTCCCTTAGTCCTCCACGAAGGCATCCCTCCCTTTAGGCAGATAGCCGTAGTGTGCTTTGCCATAATTAAATAAACCAAACCAAACCTGACATCACCAAATGTGGCGATATATGTTCTGCGCTGGTTTTTGGTGCGATTGCAGTGCTGTGCAGTGGTTTTGTGAACGAAATTGTTTGTATGGCAACCCTTTTGACGTTGAAACTTAACTCTTTAGCTGCAGTGCTTTAATTGCCCATTGGTTCGTGTTGTGCATGTTTTGAAATGGCCTATGTTGCAACGACAGATGTGGTGGCAAGATTTCGGTTGCGTATTTTAGATTGTGTGGAAAGTAAATTTAGTATTAAAAGGTATGATGTTAGAGTTGTTAACGAGTCTTTTGTTCACAGGTGTGTTTATGAGGATCGAAGTGTATTTTTGGAATTTCTCTGGGACTTTTAAAACGGAGTTCAAAATTCAGACCTGCTATGAGAACTCGGACGAAGAAGGGTGTTTCTGATAGTTCTGTGGAGTTGCAGTCAAATCCTTGCTGGTAAAGTATGTGGCTTTCAGTGGAGTTGAAGATTTGGATTGTGGTTTTCGTGTAGTAAGTTAACTTTGGAGGAAGTTTTTATCGTTACTTTCGAAATTTTGAATCTCAGAAAGGCATGTGATAAAGCAAAATCGTGGCACTTTAGTTCACAGACGTTGTGTGACTGGCGAAATTTTATTAACGAATGTATTACGGTAAGTGCATTTTATTTTACTGTTTTTTATTTTGTAGAATGTTATGCTCATTGTTTTTTTTACTATGAGTTTTTGTTGTTATTGTTGTTTTTTGAATTGTTTGTAATTAGTTTATTTGATTGATTTGGTCACAATGCCTAGGTTGTGCAATTCATAGATTTTTTTGAAGTTTAAACAGGATGCTGTGTACATGGTATTCTTTGAAATTTATTATTGTTATGTTATTTTATTAAGGTGAGGTGTGCGTAGTTCGTAGATCCATTCGTTGCCTAGATTGTGCAATTCATCGATATTTTTTAAAGTTAAAACATATCGCTGTGAACATGAATTCTTGTCAAATATTTTTGGTTTGAAACTTAACATTTCTACTATCTAAATTTTTTGGTTTTGGGATTTTTAGCTTAAATTGTGTGTTCAAAACATGGTTTTTGGAGACATTTTAGGCTTATAGTTCGAAATGTAGACAAAAAATTTAGATTGTAATATGGCACCGTGGATTGGCGAGAAATTTGTCACCAAGCAAGGGCGTATATAAGAGTATTTCCTAAATCAATATTAAATATTAACATTTAAATTAATGTGTAATGTGTACATATATGACATATGAATGTTAATATATTTTTATATATGATTGCTAATGTATTTAATAATATTTTCATGACTCATATTTATGTATTGATTTCGTTTTAGTGAAAATTATGAGACATGATAAGGAAAATGAAAGTTATACATATAATAGTTAATACTTTTTGTATTTATTTATTTTTTTAGGTGGCTGGTGTGGAAATACTGGGAAGAAGATGGTTGTAGGAGGATGGGGTTGGGCATGGTGGTGGGTTACAGATGTTCAAAGGTTAATTTAATGCATCTAAAATACTTTAGTTTTTCTTAATATCCTTAAATTATCTTTTATTTTATATACTTTCTTTTATTTATTTGGTTTTGCTGTATGTTTTATTAAGTTTCCCTTTTTTTAATATTTTGCACTATAGAAGATGCTGCTGTTCTGCCGTTGATTTTTTGCATGAAACTGAAAAAAAGCATGGATCCCTTCCCACTGAATAGTTGCATGAAATTGAGAAAAGTATTGCTGTCTTAAATTAATGAAAAATAAAAGCCATTGATTAAATGTTTGAGGAAGCTGGAACATGTTTTGACTTCAAGTATATAATTTAGTAATTATTAATTACGTATTCTTATTGACAAGATTAAATACTCTAAAATGGTAATATCAGTTTGATATTAACATTTTTTTGTTATTATGTAAATGAACTCTTTGGCTTCTCATATTTTAGTTTTACCTTTTGCCTATAAATTAATTTCATTTTTAGCCTGTATTTGCTGGACAATATTTGAAAACTGATATTATAAATACAGTACAAAGTGTGTAATCCAGACTTGTCGGGACTTCGGTGATTCCGGATTAAGGTTTTTTACGGATTATAGATCATCAATTTAAATTTGGTAAGATGGCATGCAGAAATTATACAATTAAAAATGTGAAACCATAATTTATGAAATAAAAATCAATTATGATGTAAAGGGTATAAAAATTTATGGAAAAAAAAGCTTTATATTTATTTGTTTACCTTATTAAACATTTCTTTCAATGCAAGTTGTTTAAGTTGCTTCTTTTTTTTTTTTTTTTTTTTTTTTTTTTTTTTTTTTTGCTAATACTTTCTCTTTAATTCTATAAACAGATGTAATTTCTTGTTCAGTTACGAAGTTCCACTGTTCAAGTCCTGTAATTACTGTATCGGGAATACCGGCTAACTTGTTAATTGAAATTTTTTAGTTTTCAGTAACCTCTCTGTCACTTTTTATCAGAAGCGCACATGGCTAAAGGCTTTACGCGCATGCGTAGCAGATGCATGCATTAAACACGCATGTGTAAGTTTGTGGCTTTGAGGTCCAGATTATAGATCATTTCGGATTACGGACTTTGTACTGTAGATACTTTCTGATTGTTTGCATCTCGCAAAAAAATCACTAACTCATTTGGTGACTTTCTGAATTAGGGACTCGTTTGTTATCTTTAGAGCTGATGATTATTATTGTGTTCATAAATAATGCAAAGAAGCATTTTATGAGAAACAATTGTACTGTAAAAATAATCTATACAACTGATATTTACAGTAACAGATGCTGTTTAGCTATGAAGAAATAATGGTTAAAGTGTGGAGATCCGTGTATATTCAAGCATGTGTTACGAGCATGCATACATGGGCTAGTGTAATGTAGATACGAAAAAATAAGCCAAAATCTATGCAGTTTCACCAAAAGTTGAAACAAGGGGTGCATATAATCGAAAAGTACCTATAAATGTAACTTGGATGTTATTAATAATAAAAATCACAAAATATTTTTTTTAATAATCGTGTTTTATTTGTGTTAAATAATAAATTATGGTCATGTGTGATATATTTTTAAATAGTTATTAGGGTGGAATATTTTGTGTTCATAGATCTCACAACCAGAAACTTTTCTGTTAAAGGCCATGCAATGCATTTTTGGCACCACCTTGGTGCGTTTTGTATTCTTCCTTTCTCCATGCCTTTGGCTGAGTCTTGATGAAATGGAATGATCAGGAATGGCGAAACAAAAACATTTTCTTTCATAATATAAAATCCTCTAAGAAACGTTCTGTGTTTGTGTGTGGGGAGAGAATATGACCTAAGTTAGTTTTAGTTCTTTCAGATTATCTTCACTGTTATACCGATAAGTTGCCAACTGTTGGTGACTAATTTTTTGCCAAGCAAAGATGTGAAAAACAACAGCCATTTCCAAAACTGATGACTTACTAAGAATTACACAAAATAATGACCAATTAACAAAATAAAAAATGCCAGAAACATCTATTATAAAACACTTACTTTTTTTTTTTACGTTATTCATCCTATGAACACAGCAAACAATTTTAGCTTCTGAAACAAAAGAGAACTGCAGAAACTTGGTCTCCCCATATGTACTAAATCTGTTTTCTGTTGAAAGAAAATCAGGAATTTGCACATATTATAATTGTATACAGTGTTGCTTTTCTATGTTCCCAATAAACTTTTTTTTTTTTTTTTTTCTTCTGAAAGAAATCAAAGAACTGCACTAATTTTGACCCATAAAATTAGATTTTTTACAAAGTGCAACATTATGGAATGCAAATTTCTGCAATCTTTGTTGGGTAAAATGTCTGCAATATTTTTGAAGAAATGCAGTACTTACTCTTTAATCAGCTGACAGACTTCACAGTCCCATTATGAATCTTTACAAAAAAAAAAAAAAAAAAAAAAAGGCACCCGTTGCTTGAAAAATAAATGCTAATGATCGCTGAATTTGAAACTGAAAAAATGGCCTTTGGGGGAAACGGGTGCATGCCTAGATTACCATACAAGTACATTTTGGGTGACATAGTATATTCCCTTGTGAATATTTTTCAGGGGTGTGGATACTCAGAAATCTTTTTCTTTTGGGGAATAAGCTTCATCATCTTTCATAATTTTATAGCATCTATCACTTTTAATGTTATAACAAGATAGCAAGAATTTGGCACATACTTTCATGTATTTATTACAGTCAGCTATTGTACTGAGATTCATTTGAAGCAAAATTTGGTTAGTAGAACTCGATAGATGTTAAGTCCTAACCTCATAAATAGAAGAATCAGTAATAAGAAAAGTAATGTGTGATAGAGCAAACCATGTTTGTATTTAGATATCTTTTACTTCTTGGCAGGAACAAAGGCTGCATAATCATTTTGGGCTCAAATTTCAATTTAAATTCATAAAATGGTTATTTAAATGCAGTTATTTTTATTATTATTATTATTTTAAGAATGCTTTACTTGAAAAACAAAGCAGGTTTTGTATGGTTCTTAAAAGGCTTTAATTTCAGCCAAAATTTGCAAATGAACCTTAATTTTGTTGACATTTCCATTCCTTTTGTGTGAATATCATTTTATGTAAATTTAGAGTTGAGTCCACATGGTTTGTAATGGAGCCATTTCAAATTGGCATTGTGAACAACAAGGAACATTTGATCAGTTTTGTAGTGTCTGATTGGTTGCTTGACCAACCTTTCAAAATCAGTGGTATTAGCAAGAATACTATTTTTCCTAATTGGAAATTAGTTCTTGGTTTTTAACCGTACAACCATGCTTTGACCTACTGTGTTAATGTGACCTTCAGAAAAGGCAAAGGTTAACAATTTGGCTGCATTGCTGCATATTTCAAACCGAAACATTCCACATAGATACACCGTTGATCTTATTGGCAGTGGGGATCTAGGCAAAGCATACTTTGCTTCCCTTAAATAAAGCTAAGACTAATCTAAATAAAATTCATGCTTTATTATTTATGATGTTATGCTTCCACTTACTATTATGAGTGAATTCAGAAATTTATTAAGGATATGAATATAAGACTTAAATAGAGCCCTCAAAAAGAGAAAGCATTAGAGCTGTCATTATTAGAACTATCAAAATCTGGAGACTGCCACTATTTCTGTGAAGAGCTGAGTTGCCCTTGCTCCAGAACTGCTAAAAACAGATTTGATGCTGTACGTTAGCACATTTTTGTAGTTGTTCCTTTAATTTTTCCTGCCAGTATATTGTAAATGTAAAGTATAAATGTTTCAAGAAATTGTGTTTGTAATTTAATATTAACTGCTTGTAAACTTTAGAGAGTTGAATTTATATTCAAACTTGTTTTTAAGATTGTGATTAATATTGACATGCATATTACATAATTCTGTTTTATTCTTAAAATAATATTGTAACAGAGGAGGCAGTTGCATAGATAATGACTTTAATGTATTTAGTTCTGATAATAAGGCAGTTATATAGTTGCTGATAGTTTCTTAAATGTTTGCATTGATTTCCCTTAAAAATCTTTAATTTCCATTTAAAGAAATGTGTATGAACCCAGTATCATGATCATCTAAAAACAATTTTATTAACTCCAAGATATAGAATAACACATTTCTAAAATGGTATTTAATAACTGACATTGCTTAGATTATGTTTTTAATTTATTTTTAACTCCTGGCTTTCAGATTATTTATTTATTTTTCTATTCTAAACATAGTGCCTGGTATATTAACACTGCAAAAGTTAGTAATACAACTTAGTTTTATTGTAACTTGAGTTATGGCTTTGAAAATAATTTTCATTAATTATGCATTTTTATATTTTGTTACACTGATGTTTGTTGTATTTTATTTTGAAACATGATGACATGATTTATTATATTGCCTTTCAACATATATTTCAAAATGAATAGTAAATAAATTTGTAACATAGTTATTTAGTTTCTTTGAGGTCATGTAGTTGAAAGTTCTAGAGTTACTACATAGTCTATGCATATTTTATATATTATTTTGTGCTTTTTTAAATGTTATGAACGTACCAAAGTTAATTATTAACTTGGTTCCTAAAGTATTAAGGTTTGAAAAAATTTCTAAAAATTGAATGCTGTTTTGATAATTTTAAAAGTTTAAATTTCTGCTATCAAATTTTTCAAAAAAATTGAGGTAATAGTCATTTTTAAATAAGCTATGTTGTGGAGAAATTCTGCGTGAAAAAATTTTAGATGGGATTAAATAAGAGTAATATCACTGTATGAGTGTGTTCATAGATGTTCTGTAATCTAAGTTTGAATAGCTTGCATGTCAAGCATCCAATTTTTTTAAACACTTCAAAAAAAATTATTGTTTTCAGCCATTCATAAAAACCTCTTAGTTAATTAGTTAGAAAAGATCAGAAACACAAAAACATGTTGGTTGGCAAAGAATAAGGTTCATTTATGTATCTACAGTTCATAAAAGTGTGTTTCTCATCAGCAGTTAACGAATTAAATCGTAAAA